TTAGACCCGTCTGGAAGATTTCTAAGGTCGTTTGGAAGTCAAGGTTCTAGTGACGGTCGTTTCAATTATCCTTGGGGAATTACTACCGATGCCCTTGGGTTCATATACGTTTGTGACAAAGAAAATCACAGAATTCAGGTAAACAAAAAATGAAAATAACTTTATTGGAAAATGCTAACTGATGACTGGTTCTATTGAATAAACATTTTTACTAAAGACGGCTGCATACACAATCATAATAAATTTAAATCTTTCGATTGAATTTTCTCCCTTTTACTGTTTACTTACTAGTTAGTTAGGTAGGTACCTACTATATTATTATAGTATTAAAATTAGTTAGAATTTATTTTATATTTACGTCAAGCTTAACAAATTACCTCCACAACAATAGCCACGTCTTAGAATCTGCTTGAAGCACACATAGGTACGTACCAATAATTTCAAACCAAGATCGTCGATATATATAAATCTAAAATAATTATCAAAAACAATATTACACATACAATTTCTAAAAACAAAAAGACTTTAAAAGCATTATATATTATAATAAATGTAACGGTAACATAGCCCATAGGTGGGTTAGGTTAGGTACTAGGTATATAGGTACCTATACCTACACGAGTATTTTTACTACATTTGTTTATTCTATAAGTATCAAAAACTTAGTTAGTAAATTTACACTTAAAAGTAACTTATTTACTTACTCAATACTGTTTACTAAGAAGGTACCCAACTAATTAGTTAAAATAAAACATAATAATACCTATCTTTATTAACGATTAGGTAGGTCGGTATAAATATTGTAATAATTAATAAAAATATTTACCTACTATAATTTTAAATTTATTCTTCTAGAGTAGAATGTAAATAGTTATTATATTTAGTCCAGTTTTGTAATAAAGAAATCATTATTACGTTTTTTTCATTATTATTTTTTCATTACGTAGAATAATAGTAGGTACCTAAAATGTATTTTTATTCAACAGGTGTTCCAGTCAGACGGAACATTTGTAGGTAAATTTGGATCGAACGGAAATAAAATCGGACAACTGGAACATCCACATTACATTGCGGTATCGAATACAAACAGAGTAATCGTTTCTGACTGCAACAACCATCGTATTCAGATTTTTGATGTTAACGGAAGAGTGATCAGTTCATTTGGCACAGAAGGATCAGAAAATGGTCAATTTAAATTCCCCAAGTACGTAATATTTATCTTCCTATTAATTATTATACATAGATAGCCAGATAGGTATGTACACTCCCCTAGTCCCAGGTACCTACCTATCTAATAGAAAATACTACTATAGTAGGTAGGTATACCTAACAAATTACTGTAAAGACTATACAATACTATTAAGTACCTACTATTGTAGTATTTTCAATAATATAAAACAATTTTAACACTACAATGTTTCATAGGTTTGACACACTGAATCTAAATGCATTTGTAAATACTAGGTAGGTATCGCATTACCATTAGGTAGGTTGTAGTTAATACTGACTCTTGACGTTAAAACCATTTTTAAATCATAAATTAGCTACTTCGGGGTACTTCCTGAAACATTATTAACATAAATCATAACTACCTATACAATAGGTATAATCAATAAAAACATTTAAAAATAATTTGTAAGTATATTAAATAATATTAAAGCAAAGTACTTAGGTATATACAGGGTGTTGCACGATAAATTTGTCAAACTTCTAGAGATGTTTCTACACCTCAAACGGAACAAAAAAAGTCCTTATGACCATAATCGAACTAACAATAATAAGGGTGATAATTTACATGTTTGTGTTTTTTTGGTTAAACTCAAGTAAGTTTGATTCATAATAATGTTCATATCTGCTAAACCGTAGGTAGGTACTACAATTAATTTGAATGCATTGATGAAATAGCTCATAAAATTGGGATTAGGAAAACATAATATCTTACAAGGTTCCCACCTGATTTTTTGGGTAAGAAGATTAACACACATTTTTTATAACTTCAAAATGTCGAAATTTTGAAAAATTCAGTTAATAACAATTATTTTTTAAGGCAGGGGTCATAAGGACTTTTTTGTTCCATTTGAAGTGAAGAAACACCTCTAGAAGTTTGACACATTTATCGTGCAACACCCTGTATACATTTAACTGTGGCATTCACCATGTAAAGCACCAATCCTTATCTAAAACTTTTCGTCCTTGCCCAACCACAAAATACAATTTTTATTAGACATGATACTTGTTGTCCTCATATTAATACCATTTTAACATCAAAATATAAATTATTACAATTATAAAATACCCACCTATAACTACTTACACATATCCTATTAATATTATAAATGTGAAAGTCTGTGACTTTGTTACTCTTTCACGTATAAACTACTGAATGGATTTTAATGAAACTTTACAATAATATAGCTTATACATCCGAATAACACATAGGCTACAAATCATCCCCCTAGGTCCAACCAGCCATGGGTTTTAAAACTATTATAATAATAATTATTGGTTGCTGTAAAATCAGTGTATTCATTGAATGCATTTAATTTTTTTGTACGCTGTGTTATGTATCACAATTATTACTTAAATATATTGAGCGTATTAAACTCACACATAAGTTACGTACCTACATGGTGCATAAAACAATCACGATACCCACGTATTCGTGGACGGAGAGGAAATATTGGTCGATAGACTCAGCATTCACAATTAGTCCAACCGTTTAGGAGAAGTTCAGCAACATACTTGGTATAACTTTGCTACTTCAGAGTTAAACTATAAAGTTACGTACAAACATCACGGGGTCCGCGATAGATAGCCTACATGATAATATATTTACTGCTGCGAATCAGAATTTTCATTCCGGGCAACGGAAAAGTTAAGATAAATTTTGAACACCATACACTGAATATTAAATAACGAATTGAACAAAGTTTGAGTCATACAGAGTTGATACATTTAACGGGTAACAAAGAGTGCACGGGATCGGCTAGTAATTTATATTATAAAAAAATATATATATGTAATGTACTCAAACAGAAAATTATAGGAAGGTACTATGTATAACATATTTTTCCCAGAAGTATACCGTTCACTGTTCAGTAAATAGTTTACTATGATCTAATGTTAATAATGAAATGTAACTTTTCAGAGGTGTAGCTGTAGACGACCAAGGATACATACTGGTAGCAGATTCTGGCAACAATCGCATACAAATTTTTCATCCTGACTCAACGTTCCTTAGGGCTTTCGGTTGCTGGGGATCTGGTGATGGAGAGTTCAAAGGACTTGAAGGCATCGCTGTTATGTCCAATGGAAATATATTAGTCTGTGACCGAGAGAATCATAGGGTTCAAGTTTTCTAATTTCACGCGTTACTGACTTCATAGTGAAAGTAGTGCGAATCATGTATATAATTATAGTATTCACATTAGATTATAACTTCTTCATATGGCTTTAAAAATTAATATTTGAAGAATTTTAATGTTTTTTTTTTATTTTATTATATACACATAAATATATATATCAAAATAAATTGTTACAATATAATAATATATCATAACTTACAAATTGTGAATTAATTATTCTATGAATAATAATATTCAAAATTAAAAGGGTAACATGCAAAATCAAAACCTATCCACTGGATATGAAACGTGAATTATATTTGTTACAAATATGTATGCCAAATAATATATCGACTAATTAACAAAATTATTTTATAGAAATATTGTATTTTTATTTTAATAAAATTAAAATTAAAATAAAACTAGGTATTAATGTATTATTTAAAAGAATACTTAAATATGTTTAATATAATTTAACTACATACTTACTATCTACATCTATCAAATTTAATATTTTAATAAGTTTTATACTACCTAATAAAAAATATTTTTTCACAACCAAATCAGATACTAAAAATTAAAAAAAATAAACACCACAGATCTATTTAACCAATTAAAATGTAATACTAATACTTAATTTAGAGTGAAAAAAAAATGAAGTCAATTATTTGGATCACGTTATATGAATATATTAATTTTAACTATATCCAAGTTATGATTTTATTTAATTTAAAAAATATGCAACAACATCTTAGTACATTTTTAAGATTAAATGCATGTTTTTAAGTTATTTTTTCTTCTCAATTTCACAAAGCTCAAATGTGTCCAAATAAATAATAATAACCTATTCAATTTTAAGTTTTTATGCAGAAATCTAATTAAAATACTATATATTTTGTATAAATTATTGGAGCACTGTAAAATAAAGTACCTAGGTAATAAATAATAATAAATAAACAGTGAAGAATAACATTTTCAAGTTTCAACATATTTTTAATGAAATTAAATAAATACAAATTCATATAAGTAAATTGCTATTTACCTACTCATTATAACAATACATTATTTTTACATATTTTTATAATTACATTTTAGATTAAAAATTTGTTCATAAGTATATTTTTTTAATATTTTAAATGTACCAAAACATCAAGTTTTCCATTTTTAAGTATTTGAATATATTAAAAAAATTAATAAATAATATTTTTTTAAATTACTTTTTATTGTGAATTGAATACTTATACCAATATAAAAGTAATGTGTTTAGTAAAAATAAACTATTAATATAATTTTAACATTTATAATTGCTTATTTATCATACCTAACATATTTATTACTATATTGATTTTCCATCATTAAATAAAAAATAAAGATAAAGATAAAATATATCAGTTCATTTATTATATTTTAAAATGTCAAGGAAAACAAAATTAATTCAGAATTGCTATTACAAAAAAATACACAGAACTTATTTATTTTTATTTAGATCTCAAATACACATAACCATAGGAAACCCGACTAATATTTACATAAATATGTTTAAAAAATGCAAAAATATCAAGAATATATTTTAATAATCTGATTTATAATGATTTTCACACTTTAAAATTGAAAATAAGTTGAAAAAATATATTTTTCACATTCATACATTTCGCGTCATTTATTTAGACCTTCATTATTCTGAATATGTTCACTATCATTTTCATTATCCATATCTTTAGGTGCGATTAGATTTTGGTTAGAGCTTGTTGGTAGTGATGTTTCATTATCACTACCAATAAGACCATTTAATTGAAAACCAACTACTGGGGTTTTTTGAGTCTCATTAAGTATATTCTTTTCACTCGTTTGTGATGAATTTGGTATGTCACTGTTGCTAATCTTATCTTGCTGTTCTACTTGTGATTTAGTATTTTTTAATAGTTGCCATTCGGGTATACTGGAAGATGCAGGGGCTGGAGGAAATTGGAATCTAAACCATAAAAATAATTGTATATATCAAAATAAATTAACCACGTTTCAATAAATACCTATTGAGGAGTAAACTTTTAATAGACTTTAGTTCAGCACGAACTTGATTATTGAATTCTTTTTGCCGATCGGCATATGTATTTGATGATTTGAGTAAATTGTCTTTTTCTTCTAACATAATTATACACCTTTGGACTGACAACTCAATGGTTTCCAAACGATTTTCTAATGGAGATTTTTGAGCTCCAAAGAGCCAGCTTTCTATGTATTTCTAGAACAAAAAAGACGATATATTTAATAGATAGTCAAGCTTAAATATTTAAAGGATTTGTACATACTTTATACAACTTATAGCCAATGTATACAACAGCAGCAGCAAAAGCTATTGGTCCAAAAAGACGACTGTACCAGCTCTGCGATTCAAATGACGTTTGTATAGCACTAGGAGCATTTGATGAATTGTTATGAACGGATGGTGGCTATACACAAAAATAATTTTAGTTAAGTTAATTAAATTATTAACGTTATTAATTATGGCTTATGGAAAGTCCTAGTTACATTTTGTTTATTAAGACTTTGATTATCATAACAGATCATCGCTGCTCTCTGAATTGAATACTGGATCTCAACATCAGTTAATCCTTTTTTACTTAAGAAGTTAATTTTTCTTTCAGTAGGCATTTTTTGTACTGATTCGAGTACCAAAAACTCTATTGCTTTAGCTACCTATAAAACAACAATGTGTTTATTAATAATAACTTTGAACATTATTGTTGAGTTCTATATCCTCTTACCACACTTTTGCGGACTGTAGGTATGGGCTCGGGTATTTTTGAATTATTCGGCTGAATAAAATAATATAAGAACAGTTAAAAACATTACAGCTATGGTATAAAAATTGTATATACTTACTACCATAATATTTCTTTCCAAATTGTTGGAAGTACTTTTCGCCACGTTAGCTGTTTTTGTGTTTGGATTATTCATCTATACAATAAATGTATAAAGTAAATATCAAAGAACACAATTTAAATGAATTCAAAAATATGTCTGTATAATAATAATGTTATATATAAATATACTCACAGTGCTATAGTCACCGGAGTTCACAACTGCATTAACAGCAACTGAATTATCGTCACTGTTGACTTTATCATCGTTGCGCGACATCATGTAGCACGGTGCAACACGCAATGAAGTTCTAGATGGTTACTTTATGAAATTAGTTTCCAGAAGACCCTGAAACAAATAAAATGCATGACTCTCTTATAAGTACACATCAAGCCAAAAATTCATAATCAAATTAAAACGCTTTGTATTTGACAACGAAGTTTACAAAATATATACTCCGTTGGGCTCACCCCTTGGCGACTAATAATTATTGCTCAAAAGTTTTAACGAAAAATTACTGTTACGAGTTTACGGCGTAGGTAGTAGGAACCCACATAATATACAGGCCCAGATTTACACTACGAAAGTGCACTTAGTTCCAAAAATGAGAGATCCCCACATTTCCTTATACAACAAACACATATAATACAGTTTTAAAAATATACATATGAATAAAAAAAATGTCTTTAAAAATATATTACATATTTTTCTTATCAGCTGTATTGATGTTCAAAATAAATATTCAATAGGCCATAATAGGCAATAAATAATAATGATTGTTTTACCGCCTGTGACTACCTACAAAAAATCCCCCGACGAACAACCCCGGAAAAAAAATCCCCGACCCTAGGAAAAAAAATCCCCAGCTACAATATTCCTCCCAATCACATGCAAATGGTTGAACAAATATATTTTGAACGTTAATTAGTATCTATAATTAATATTTAATGACAAATACGTATATTATATTCTATTATAATATAATATATTATATTATATTGTTAAAAAAATTATAAAAATATTTAGAATGATCGATACGTCAATTAATAATACAGTTAAAAACATAGTATACAAAAATATTATACAAAATATAGGTACCTATATATTTTATGTTGGTATAATTCTGTAAAAATTGAATCCCCGAAATAAAATATTGCGTTTTCTGTGACATTTTGACGATAAGCGGTTTAGTATGTACCTTTGATAATATATATTATAACTTATAAGGTAAAAGGTTACACCTACCTATCTAATCTGTAATGGGCTCAAGAACATAATTTGGATACTCGTTATCTTAGCTACAAATTTAGCTACAAATTTAGCTACAAATTTAGTACACGATACACAAAACGACAACGCTATGGAAACGCTGAAAATTTTAAAAACTAATGGTAAAAAACCTAAAATTACGCACATCGGCTTTATTTATCATTTTCAAAAAGAGTGTTCAAATTTTTCACGTTGGCGATGTTCTAAATTTAGCTCTTTAAAATGTCCGAGTGTACTTAAGACTAGTTTAAATATTGAAAATCCAATATTTGTTGGTCTTGATCATGACCATGTACATGATTCTAATAAAAATGCAGTCGCTGCTTTAAAATTACAAAATACAATTAAGAAAAAAGCACAAATATCACATGCAACACCGAGTCAAATATTTGCTGAGTCTGTGAGTAATGTACCACATGCAATATTATTAGAATTGACAAAAGAAGAACACGTAATTATAGATACTATTTAACGTTAAAAAAATATTTGTTCAACCATTTGCATGAGGTTGTGAGTAATATTGTAGTCTGGGGATTTTTTTTCCTAGGGTCGGGGATTTTTTTTCCGGGGTTGTTCGTCAGGGGTTTTTTTTTCCGGGGATTTTTTTTCCGGGGGATTTTTATTCCGGGATTCCCTACAACATATCTTGTGACTGTATTATAAAAATATCAGTCATAGTTAGGGCGATGTCAACATTTTCAAATAAACGGAACGGTACTATTGACCGTATACAAATTATAAAAAAAATGGTTGCTCTACAATAGTAGAAACATTTTTGATCACGAGATACTTTGATAAACAGTCAACAGATTTAGGTACATTAAAATGTTGATGAATAGTAAAGCCCTATAAGTTGTCTCATGGTCTTGGCCCCATTTAGTTGATGGTTGATGATAAATGAATGATTTCGATTTGAATCACATGTGAGTAGATACTCAGTAATACATGTCACTATATCATTAAGTAACGGTTGTTTATTCTTGGAGAAAGAAAAGATATGCCACGAAAACATCGAAACATACCTAACTATTTAGTAGTTACTTTAGTACACACGAATTAAAGATAAGCACACAAAACACTATTTTTTCTCTTAGTTATTAAGTTAAATGTAAGATTATTAGTACCTAGGCAGACTTATCAAAAAGATCTGGCAAATATTTCGTCTTGGAACGTGCTTACTTTCAAAATTGTATTGTGTGCTCCTTTAATAATATCAAGTTTACTGCAGATAATACTGGACTTGATTAAAGGTGGGGGTAAAATATATTACATACATAAATTATTTTGTTTTAGTATATTTGTATCAAAAATAACAAAGAATATGCATTCTGATGCAGGGGCTTCTTCAGGTCAATTCCATGGGTGGGGGGGGGAAACTTTACTCTTAAATAAAACTTTGGTAAACAAAATATTTAAATGTTTGATGTAATATCATACAAAAACAGAAAATTACACGTCTTACCCCTCAAGGACGCACCTGTTATGATGTAATCTTTTTTTATCATAATGAAAATCATTAAATTACCTACATAATTACGAAATACGAAACACGAATATAAACATTGTAACAAATATTTTTAAATGCCATACAAATATATACAAATTGAATTACATTTTTATTTATCTAAAAATTATAAATATTACTACGGGCAATCATTTGTTTTTTTACATAATATTTTTACAAGGTGTGAAATTTTTTTAGGACCTTATTGTGTGAACATAGAGCTTTATTGAGTTATGAACATAAAGGTCTTAATCCTGCTTTTGAGTATACAATGAAACCTCTAAATTCCGAACACTCTCAACTACCAAAATTTTGTCGGCTATTCAGAGGGTTTGTAGACATTTTGTAGTGTGTTTCACAAACATCATATATTTTGAAGAGCCCGCTATTTAAAGGTGTCCGTTAAGGGAGGTTTCACTGTATAATATATGAGGAAGTACCTACAGAAAACATAATATTATACATATTAATATAGTATAGTGTATACTACACTGTATACGAAATGAAGGCGTGAAAGTTTCGAGTGTATAGCAACGCCTACTAGTTATTCCAAACACGAAAATATTTTACTATCGTCGTCCGCGAACTGCAAATTTTTAGTATGATAGGTGGAAATATTTTTAAAAATTAAAAATTTAAAATAATTTTGGCGGTTAACGGATACCATTGAAACCGTCACAGACGTTCCATGAACGGTCACCACCAGTACCAGCACCAGCAGCAGCAGCACCAACACCAGCGCCAGCGGCTACTGGAGCAGCACCGGCGACTCCTGGAGCAGCAACAGCGACGTCTCCCGCAACAGTGCAGCCGACTTCCATCAGCCGCCGCCCCTGAAGAAGTATCGCCCAATCCTGTGATTCTTCCTACACAGCAGCCACCTCCACCGCAGCCGAAATACCGACCACGAATCGTGCATCTCGCCAATGAGGACGCGCTCTCGGCGGCGTTGACCGCCGACGGTTACCGGTTGGGCTCGACCGTCGGCCACGGGTCGTACAGCAAAGTCCGGATAGCGTTTTGGGCGGCGCCGGCGTCGTCGGCCACGGCTCGGGTGGCGTGCAAGGTGATCAACAAGAGACGCGACCCCGGCACTTCGTCGTACGTGCGAAAGTTCTTGCCCAGAGAACTGGAAGTATTGCGCACGGTCCGGCACCCAAACGTGGTCAGAACGCACCGGATATACGTGACGCCGTACACCGTGCACGTGTTCATGGACTACTGCGAGATTGGTGACCTGCTCAGCCATATGCAGCACGTTAAGACCATACCGCAGTGGCAAGCGCACACGTTCTTCAGGTCAGTGACGTTTCTCGCTCGTTTCATTTTTCAACATTTATAATATTTAAATCATTAATTTTATTATTTCGGACTGTGTTTGATGTTTGATACTTTGATGCATCGTCGTCATATAAACTCAAGACATCGAATACTACTGGATGAACTTGGTTTTTTTTTAAACGTATTTTTTATTAATTAGCCCTTTTGAGTTCTGACAAACAGAGTGTATATAGAGAACCACAGATTTCGCAGCCTACCGCTTGCTTACTCCACTAAACAACTCTACCAAAACTTTAAATACTCATCATTATATAGATCAGTGGTTCCCAACATCTACTATTCTACGCCCCATTTGTATATTTTTAAAAATCTCACGCCCCCTTCTATAAATCGAAAAAAAATAATTTACGGACATCGTGGCGGCATAAAACAATTAAGTACCCCGGCAAAGATTATGAGAGTTAACTGCTAAGTGACTAAACAATAAACAGTCGTAATATTTATCGGGGCGAGACCGTTTTCGACCAAAAACGTACCCTTCCCTTTTCGGCCGATTCACTTTTCGACCAAATTTATAAAAGGTTCTTTCCCTTTTGGACCAAAACAAAAAGTTTTGTAATATGATATGTAAAATAAATAAAATAATTGGTATATAATTTTTGTAAAATTATGGAATTATAATTTTAAAAATTATTTAAAGTATAAGTTGCATTAAAATGTTGTAAAATAAAAATTAAAAAAATTTAAATATAAGAATACCTATATATTATTAACATTAGTTTGGTTGTAATATAGTCACCACTGTGCATAATATTTTATAAAAAGAATAACATAATAATATACAATTTTTGTCAATAATTATTAAGTCTAATAGTAATGTGTATTGTACTAATATAATAAGATAATATGGCAAATATATAACAAATATAAGATATACTTATATAAAAAAAAAATGATATAAGGTTAATATAATTGTGTCGTATATTGTGTCGTCTGAGTTTGTTAGCGCTTTCTCATTACATTTGTTTGAAATAATTGTTTGAAACCACCTTAACAAATCATACCTAAAATCTTTTAGTGATATATTTACTATTAAGTAATAAAAACGCCTAGCTATTTTAATAAATTATATACTGTAGGTACCTGTCAAGTTACCTGTATTTTACAACATTTTATGCAACTTATACTTTAAATAATTTTTAAAATTATAAGTGCCATAATTTTACAAAAATTATATACCAATTATTTTATTTATTTTACATATCATATTACAAAACTTTTTGTTTTGGTCGAAAAGTGAATCGGCCGAAAAGGGAAGGGTACGTTTTTAGTCGAAAACGACTATGCCCATTTATTGATACCCGATAACTGATCGTTATTTTTTCCCTAAAAAATAATTAAATAAATACAAATTTTACTTCATGATGGCTGCTTGCGCCTCCCCAGCAAATGTGTATACCTACACGCTACCCAGGTTGGGAAACAATGTCAAAGATATTGTATAGATACATAATTCACTCGGTGTTTTGACTTTATGAGAGTATAAACTTTTAGATGATCATTAAAAATTTAAGTTGATAGGTAGTGAGTTGATTGAACAAACATAATATGAAAACAATATAATGCTAGTAACAATGTTATAATAGAATTTGCATATATCTTATTCAAGAGAAATGTACAGGTACCTAATGCTTTTCCAAATGCACTGCGCACATTGTATACCTATATCTACCAATATATATAAAAATATGTGTCAGCAAATATTTTAATATAGGCAGTGTTGGGAAAAACACCAAAAAGTTTATAAAGATTATAAATTTATAAATAATTTAAAATACAGATTTATTAAATTAGCAAATCCTAAATGGTTCAATATATAGGTAATATAATGATTATTATTCAAAATATATTTCATAATTATTAAATATAGGTAAATCTAATTAAAATGATTAAGCATGAATAATATGTTTATATTTTTAATTATGTAGTATGATTATAATTTCACTACTTAACTAGTTTTCCTCTGCACAAATTAAAATTGTGATTATTTTAATAGCATATCAATCAAAATACATTCAATCAATAAATGATATATTTATTGAAATTGTACAATTTTTAATTATATAGATGTAATGTTTATACCCTTTAAAGATTCGTTAACCATGTATAGATTTGTTTTTTTAACGCACTAAATAATAGCGCGATTATAAACCGTGGTAGACGGCACCCCACAGCTAACACGTCACGCCATCGATACAGATGAAAATATTATGAGATATAAATTCTGACAAAGAGTTGGTCCACAAATAACATATTATTCACTCTTTTCTATGACAAAAAAACCCAGTAATTTTACAACGGAATCGAATAAAAAACAACAAAAGTCGTATTGGGCACCACCGAGAGTTGGGGCTGGGGGTTATAATTGTGATAATAATATACATATTATACATATATATAATATGATATAATTATACATTTCAATTGAAACCGAAATTTCATTATGGGCCATGGCCTATAGGGACCCCTCCTGACACCACTGATAGTGATACATTATTATGTTGTGTGCTCTCGATTTTTTTCATGGTCGAACCGCAGGCAGTTATGCGAGGCTGTGGATTATCTGCACCGAAAAAACATCACGCACCGTGACATCAAATGCGAAAACGTACTATTGGAAAACATGCGGACGGTCAAGTTGACCGATTTCGGATTCGCCAGGTTGTGCGCGGATGAGCGAGGCCGGAGACTAATGAGCCAGACGTACTGCGGCAGTTCGTCATATGCTGCACCAGAAGTGCTACAAGTTCGTATAATATGCCGACGATTATGGTGTGCATTAAACACTCGGGGGCAACTTGACCCACTGGCCGTATTGTCCTACAGTTTGATATGAGACCATTGGGACTTTGGTTATACGATTGCCATCATATAGTAAAGTAGTCTTAGGGATTGCTTTTCATTGAGTAACTTTACCAACTTTAACCGTAAATTCGATAATAGTATAACATCAATACACCTTCATAGTATAAGTGTAGCATTTAGTATTTAAGAATAGCAATATATCATTATATGTTTGTATAAATAATATTATTATCTATATAGGTACCACTTATAAAATGTGTTTTAGTTCAATATTCAAGTAACCCAAATATGCATATTCCAAAAAATTATAGACACTATCACGGTAGGTAGGTATGTGACATTTACAGAAGTTATTGAAGTCATTGTCCTATGATGGAATAAAATTTGTGAATATTAACAAAAAAAAAAAATTAAATTAAATTATAACTAAACAGTGTGTGGCTGGGGTGATTCAAAGCGAAAGCTCCTATGGACAAATGTGGGGATTTCTATGATTCTAGGACAGTAGGCCTTTAATGGTCCAGCCCCCCCCCCCTAAACATACCTGATCTTGTTTTAATTATACAACTTAAACCAAGTATATAAGTATATAATTATATTATTATAGTTTATTACACTCTATATGGTTTTCTTAATGAAATACAAAAACATGCGCATCAGCTATATCGTCGTCCACGCGACGCGATTATATAATGAATCGCAACGAAAAAAACCCTCTGTCTACGATACATATTATATTATTATTATTATTGTTGAGTGTGATGCACTAGTGGCTAGTGTATACCTATAATCATGCGATAATATTGATTATTATAAATATTGGTGTATGGGAGGGAGGGGATGGGTCGTCGGCGGTCGATTGAAATGTCGGCCGAATAAATATCATTCGAACGAACATTTTTTTTACTTTATATCCGATGAGTTAATTTTAATTATCTTATGTTTGTTAAAATATTACATTAGAAATAAAATAAAGTATATTGCTATATGATAATAATTAATAAGTACCTAACAAATGGCCAATGGAGAGATGAGTCATTCATGTGTGATAAAACGATCTATATGACTTGTAAAGGCTAACTTACTAATAGAGTTTCAGTTCTATTGTCCTAATAATAACTCTTACCTGACAAAATAACCTAAAAAGTGAAAATTCTAAATAATTCAAAAGTTATTAATATTTAACACTTTTCTTTTCGCGAATCTTTATATAAGTATAAAAATATTTGAGGCATTAAGTGGCAAAGTCAGCAATCTCCACTTTTTTTGAAATAAATATTTTGATCATATTCATATAATACTTTTTACTCTGCGTCGATTGGTGACGCTGATTTTTATCACATATAATCCCCCATCGAGATAAAACGTTTTACTACTAGCTGATCGCAGCAAAGAGAGCAATCTCCAATCATAATACCATATAATACATGTTCTACGTTTCTATGGCAAATGAGGCAATCTCCATGAGTTTCTGTGACAAAAGCTGCAATCTCCGTGGGTTCTCCTTGGGTTCCGCAGCAAATTTGACAAAGTCCATTTTCCCTCCTTTATTATTTAATATTATCGAAATTTAAAAAATTATATGAATACAGGGAATTACACCAAAATCCACTATCAATCCACGAAAATAAAATATCATGGTAAAATACAAGAAATAAAGGTAAAACAGTTTTTCGACATTTACAAAAAACCAATGCGTTTGGAAATTGCTGACTTTGCCACATGACGCCTCATTTATAATGCAGTTTTTAATTTTTAAAACTAATTAGTTGATTTTTTTTTATCAAATTGTTTGTATACGAAAAAAATCATATTATTTAACAATACACATTATACCTATTAAGTATACTAGTAAGCATATTTAAAAATAATAATATCGTTAATTAATTATTCAAAAAATCCATTTTCCAATTGGAAAAAAAATTGAGTAACATAATTAAATATTATTTGATAATTGTAAAACTAAGACGCCAAACTAAAAACCAAAAATATATATTGGCATCCCTCCACTTATTTTGAGCAAATTTGACCACTGCAGTTTTACCATACCTAATACATACCTAATAGGAAATAAATACAATTTTATAAAATCGAATTAATTCTTATTTTATTATTTAACACTCGGAAAATATAATATACACAGATTTTTATAACCAGTAGAAATAAGATTAAATGTGTTATATTAATAGGTAAAGTAAATGCAATGAACCAGATGTGATAATATTAAAATTACTGTCGCAAAATTTACACCCCACAATTACAAAATTCACTTTTTTTATTTATTTTGTTGTTTTGTCTTAAGGGCATACCGTACGACCCGATTTCCTACGACATGTGGGCACTGGGAGTTGTGCTATACGTGATGCTAGCCGACGCTATGCCATTTCCACACTCTAACCGACAGCAGATCGTGGCCAATCAGATAGCTAAGAAGTTCTCCAGACCCAAGAAACCAGTGTCCCGAGAGGCGTTGAAACTTATCTCGTAAATACCGTGTGTTCTTCATATTATTATTATCATTTTTCCATTCTAAAATACACTTATACTTGATAACATGACAGTAGTGTATTTAAAGGAGGGCTCAGGGGGGAATTTCCCAGGAGGCCAAATTCTAATGGTCCGTCAATAAAAATGTATCAAAACGACAAATATTTTTTACTTATACCATTTGGCTATTTGAAATCTTTCAAGCGCCACCATCCGCAGGGCCTGAAGTTGGATTGAGTATTTATTAATTAAGCCACCAGACACTAGTAACGATTTAGAGCATGTTATAGGACCTTTAAGTGATTAAGCTCTGACATATGTGATTTTATAATGGTTTATTATGTCCTCGGCCGTACATTTGGTGTAATATGAACAAATTATTTTTAATGGATGCATCAACAAAAACGTAGCAAGCTACTCGATATTTTTCCTCTTAAAAGAAGATCTATGAATCATAAATATTATGTTTTGGGAGGATAATAAGACACTTCACTTGTAATATTGTTTTTATTCTTATTATTATTAATTAAACCACAGCAACATAGGCCATTAGGTGAAAGTTATTATTTTTAAGTTGGTTTTGTACTGTGGGGAGAGGTTTGAACACGTGTAAATATGTAGCGAGAATTTGTCACTTAACACCCGGGTTGTCACGGTGGTCCGTGAGACGAATCTCATTGGAGCCACCGGACATTTCGAAGGGCTTAAGTTTTATAATCAAATTTAGGATAAATTCTCGTTTTGGGATGTTAAGATTTAATTAATTATTAGGGGGATATACATATATATATATATAAAATAGTATAATACTATATTATTTATAGACACGGGGGGGAGGTTTAAAGGGTAGTAACAATAGTAATCGTTGTATATCCAAACTATATTTTTATTACAGGATTATTTTAGAGCCAGACGTTCATAAAAGAGCAACCATGCATCAAGTAAAACATCATCCATGGGTTAAACAACAAAATCCATATCATACTCATTAAACTACCAAAAGAATTCATACGTTCTACGTTCCATAAGTATATCGAAATAGAACTATAAAAGAACAGAACGCAGGAAGTAGGTACTTAATTAAATTTCATAGTGAAATCCAAATTCTTTAAAATTAAATATTTAAAAGCAAACACAAGTAAAAACAAGCACTTGTCCCATATCCAATGTCCAAGAGGTCCCAATACAATATTAAATGTATAGGTATACTTATCATAATGTACACTTTTTATAATAAACTTAAAGTTTTGAGTCGATTCTGCCTTATATTATATTAGCTTATAGTAAAATACTTTTTTTTTTAATAAAATATATATATCAATAACTTAATTAGTGCATTACAGCTACACACAATTTGACTAATTATTATCACTCAAACTAAATTACAAATTTGATTTTAATAATAAATAATAATCTATTTACAACTATATATATATATATATATATATATATATATATATATATATATATATATATATACTAGCTGATCCTGTGCACTTCGTTGACTATTAAAAATGCCGACTCTATAATATGAATAGTATGTTTTATTAAAATAGCTTTAAAACAATTAAAACCCATGGCCACAATTTATAAACAACAATGTCAATTGGAAATCCCTGTTTGAGCACCTCCCGGGATTGGTCCTCTTCCTTTTTAAATTATCCTATCTTCTGCCCAGAGGTCTAATCTATCTCTGTGCCAAATGTCATCATTAACGGTCCAGCCGTTTAAGAATACATAAAGAACACACACACAGACAGACGACAGACAAACATTCATTTTTATATGTATTATATAGATACTATATAGCTGATGCCGTGCACTTCGTTACCCGTTAAATATACAAACTGTATATGACTTTGTTCAATGCGTTATTTAATATTCGGTGAATGATATTCTAGATTTAACTTTTCTGTTGCCAGGAATAAAAATTCTGATTCGCAGCAATATATTATCAGGTAAGCAATCTACCTACGGTAGATCGCGGACCTAGTGCTGTTTGTACGTAAGTGTATGATTCAACTCTAATAAAGTATCAAAGTTATATCAAGTTTGATATAATACGGTGGATTAATATAATCAATTAATACATAATCCTAACGTAACCTAACAGTACTAAAATCCGATGAATAAAAAAACCAAATTTAACCCTTTTAAAATTAGCCTATCTTCTTCCCAGAGATCTGCACACAAACATTCATTTACATAATATAATATAGCTGATCATGCGCACTTCGTGGCCCGTAAAAAATGTCAAAAAAATAATTATGATTGTTCAACTCCTTTTTGGTGTAACTGACTGCAGTAAGTGCAACTCAGCCATCCTGGTAGGCAATGTGCGAAAATTCGATTTGATGCATGCTTGTACCTGATCTGCCCGATTAACCAAATCAACCAATAATAAATAAATACTATTTCTATTAATTATTTATCCTATAATCAATAGCAACCATTTATAAACAAATATTTCCATCGTAAATTATCAAAATCTCTGTCTGAGCACTTATATTAATTAGTCGTAGAGTGACGTTATATAGCCTATAGCCTTCCTCGATGAATGGACTATCCAACAAAAAAATTATTTTTCAATTCAAACCAGTAGTTCCTGAGGTTAGAGCGTTCAAACAAACAAACTCTACAGCTTTATATATTAGTATAATAGTATATATATATAATATATTGACAAAAAAAAATAATACAAATCAACAAACATGCCCGATTAACCAATATATAATACACTATTATTATTTTTATTTAATTTTTTTCTGGACAACCCTTATCACTTAGGGGTAAGAAAAATAGATAGTGGCCGATTCTTAAACCTATTGAATATGCATATAAAATGTTATAAAAATCGGTCAAGCCGTTTCGGAGGACAAGTACGGTAACTAACATTGTGACAAGAGAACTTTATATATTAGATATATTATTATATAATCATCTGTATATCTGTATAATATATAAAAGACAAAAAATGTCTGCGATTGACTATGTGTCCTTTATGCATTCCACTCATCCAATTGCGATAAAATTTGGTACAGAGATAGATTAGACCCTAGGGAAGAAGATATATTTAGTAGCGAATAAGAGGTCCAACCCGGGGAAATTTACAAACAGGGTTTTTGAGATTATTATTATTATTTTGGTTTATAAATGGTTGATATTGGTTTTAATAATAATTATTATTATAGGCCTGTGTATTTTAGTACAGAATGTATCGAGTTCGAACCATAGTTTAGGTGGACAAATTGTTTGCATTTTTTGATACTGTAGAGTTAAATTATACACTTACTTGCTCACCACGCAGGGACCGCAGGATAATAATATACTGCTCGGCGCTCGCATAATCACAAAGACCTAGCAATAGCAACGCATTGCGGTGTCAGCTAGTAATCTATATAATATACAAAATCCAAATACCACTCACTCGCTCATTCATAGCTATATCTCAAACACTACAAAACGTATAAACCTGAAGTTTTGAATGGTGGTTCATTTAATGCCCTAGATGTGCAATAAGACAGGATTTTTTGATATACGCATTTAAAGAGGTGGTCAACAGGGTTCTTGAGATACACGGTTGAAATTGTTTTTTTTTATTTATAAACGGTTGTCGTTAGTTGTAGATTTTAATAGTAATAATAGAAATGTGTATTATTTTTTTTTTGTATACACTGAAAGAAAAATCCTGATCATATTAAAAAAAAACTAGGTTGGTTTGACAATTATCTTGTTGCTATTTAGCCGACAAGATTTTTGTCAAACCAACCTATGTGAAATTGTAATTTATATATGAATGGTTGCCATTGGTTACTTAGGCAGATCAGGTATACAAGCATATGCATCAAATTAGGATATAACGTAAATACTATATAAGATTTGCCACAAAAAAATTCATCGCTACATCTCAAAAACTACAAAACGTACATATTTGCAATTTGGAATAGTATTGTTCTTCTAACGATCTAGACGTGTAATAAGAAAGGATTTTCCGATATCCACATTTTAAAGAGGTCGTCAAACAAGGATCTTGAGATTCAAGGTGGAAATTGAAACTTTCTTTTGTTAATAAATGTTTGCCATTGATTACTATCACTCAGATCAGGTACAATGATATATCAAATTGTTACTCTTACGGCATCGAATAAAGAAACTATATCTTAAAACCAAATGTGTGTGTATAACTTATATATACTCAGAGATTGTTTATAGAGATGTCAAAAAGTTTTGAGAGTAAGTAGTTTAAATCACGTTAAAAATATACCAAATACTAAATCCAATCCGTGACTTGGGGTTGCTCATCTAGGTAAAATTATTCCACGGCAAAGCTAGACAGACTGAGGCCAATTTATTCGTAGGAACCTCAAACACTAAAACTGAGATACACTCAAACCGAGATAAACCTATAGGTAATGCGTATATTATTATTCAATATATAGGATAGATTTGCAAAAAAAAACTGTTAAAATATATTCATATAATATTATACTAGCTGTCCTGTCCGGCGTTGCCCATGCCAAACATTTGTTTCTGTTTATAAATATATTTGTAAAAAAAATTTATATTATACCATATTTCTACTGATTATAATACTAATATGATATGTAACCAATGACAATAATTTAAATAAACAAAAAAAATATTCTTTCTACGTTGGCAGAAAAAAAAATGCATATGTGAGCTACACTTTAGCAACCTATTGTCTATAGGGGTTGAACAAATAAGCTATAAATCTCAAGGAATCTATTGATATAATTTTTATTGATAATGGTTCAGAAGTTGTTGAGTCTATTCATTTTGGATATAGCAGCATCCATTTTTAGCTGTATTGCTACATTATTGGGGGAATTTCGTGCGTAAAAATGAAAAATATAAAATATAGACGCTATATTGGTATTCTTGGTTTTAGTGTACCTCAATTCACGGGCAAACAGCATTGGTGTACATCGCTTTGTAAACTAAATCGACCAAAATAGACAATTCGTCTGTGGCAGATAAGTCTGATAAGATATCTTGGTATAAATCGAACATGGTTCAAATTACTCACTAAACTTTCCTGATATTTCTAAGAACAATTTTAAATATTCACAAAATCAATCAAGTAATTGTTGAGCATATAAGCTACAAACAAGCATTCAACTCTTATATTTAAGTTAAGATTTAATTTTTTTATTCGAGGCCATAAGATTTGACGCATGTTCTTACCTCATCTGCCTGAGTAACCAATGGCAACCATTTATAAACAATTAAAAGCTTTTGATCTCCATCGTAAATCTTAAAATCCTTGTGTGAGCCATAGATAATATATAGATAGGTATATTATGTATGGTATGAGCCACTTCTTCCTGGGCAACTTTCCAATTTCTTTCCCCAAATCCATACAGCTGTTCTCAAGTGATGTGGTTACCAACGGACAGCATTTCATTTTTATTACATAGATTACTTTGTAAATAAGTATATTTAACAATTTTTAAATAAATTTAATCAATATATTATTATATGTACATATTTATAAAACCAAAACTAATATTGTCAATAACGGGTATTTCTATATTTTAATATGTTCAATAATATAAGAAACTTTATTTTTATACATTAAAACATATCAAAATAATTAATTACCATCTTTACATTATAATAATAATGAGTTAGAAATAAATTGATAATAGATCAAATACCGTACGTTACGTATAAAAAAAATTTAAAAAAACAGGATACAGAAATTATATTTCATAATTAGGTCTTAGATGTTTAATATTATAATGCCTAATGAGTAATGACTAATGAGTAATGATTAAGAGGACATGATACGCGAGCACATGTATTGTCTCCGTCTTTCAAGTTCGTAACATAACAAATTTTACGCTCAGTAGACCAAGTGTAGCTCCGTTATTTTAAAAAATAGAGCGAATCTACCTCTTATAAAATCTAAAGATAAGAATATTATCTAGGCAACCTTAAGGGCTTTTTAATATATTTTAATTTTAAATCGAGTTATGAGTATATTAAAATTTTACATGTTAAAATACTCAAAACTCGCTTTAAAATTAAAATATAATAAAAAGCCCAAGAGGTTGACTAAATAATAATCTTACCTTTAGATTTTATAAGAGGTCGATTCACTCTAATTTTTAAATTAACGGAGTTACACGTGTTCTGCTAAGCTTAATATTTGATATGTTAAGCACTTGTAAGACGAGACGGAGCAATACATTGAGGGCAGTATCATAATTATAAAGTGCACTTATTCCACTGACAAAATCGGCGGTGCAGAAAGTGCGCACTGAGTGCACACGAGTGTTGCACTTCAATCAAATCGAACACAAAACACTCAACCAGTTCACAGAATATTGGTCAAATCGAATACGTTTTTGCACTCAGTGCGCACTGAGTGCAAAAAATGCGTCAAATCGAAAACGCTATTAATATAAGCAGTCTTGGAAGAAATTAATGGTGATTATTCTTTAGTTTTAAAAAATATTGTTTGAGACTGTTTGTACCTATAATGACGAAGTACAATAATAAAAAAAATGTATATTACAATACGCTTTAACAAATACAATATTTGTACTTTAATGTTTTAAATTAAGTTAGTAAATGGTAAAAAATACTAAATATTAAAAATGATAATTCTCTATTAATAAAATTAGTTAGATGCTACCTATCGAAGTTAGCAGTTTTAACGCTGCCAGCGAAATTGACAAAATCAAACTCATATAATATGGCATAGATTAAAATATAAATTATATTTAATTATTCATCAAAAGCTTATAAAAATAGCAATATACTATTATTCTATCTAGTTTATTCTTATTTTTATACATATTATTAAACTTGTATTATCTGTTTTTACATAAATAATTAGGTACCTACTTAATAAATTTAAAAAAAAAATAATAATTTTGTTACTAAATGTATACTCTAGATAGATATATAATTTTAATCAAAACATAATATTAGATACATTCATAGATAGCAAATTATTATAAAATATGTATACTTACGTACTGTTTATATAATATTAAATATTAACATTATTATTTCTAGGGGTACTATACAATTATTACCATGTATAGGTTACAATGTATTATAAACATAAATAAAATGATAGAAATATTAAAATTAAACTTAACCAACAAAAAAAGTTGTAATCTAATCAAATAGCAATGAAACTGATTTCATTATGCACCACAATAATGAATAATTATGGATGCTCAATACAGTCTGAGACAATCCTATAGCTAGAAATGAGCTATTTTATTTAGAATAGAAGTTGAACAACAGACTATAATATAACATATTGAACTACTACAAGTAATATTGATACAACATATCAGCCAGATAAGACATGCTAGTAGATTGAAATGATTGGATATTTGGATTAGATTCAAATTAATGTTATTATGAACATTGAAATGGAGCCACACAATTTGAGTTTGAATATGTTGAATTACAAACATTGAATATATTGGTCATAATTAGGGAGAGGATTTCAATGAAAATTGCAGTTTTTTTCTGAATGTGTAATAACCATGATTTCCAAGCACAATTAATTTCATATATCAAGGAATTAAAAAGTTTAATTTTGCATTTTTTATTTTTAAAGCAATTTTTTTATATTTTAAGTGCATTTTAGATATTTTATGTCCTTATGCATAGTCAAGTTATGTGTCACATACGAAACTTAAACTATGCCTTATATGACACATACATTGACTATGCATAGGGACATGAGACATTTTTTTTTTCATGTTTACACACTTCATAATATTATTAGAAAATTTGATAACATTTATTTTGATTTCCTCCTAAATGAAAAAATGCATATCTATTTTTAAAATATATTATGGCTTTACCGATTGTAATAGAAAATACGATGCCAGCCGTAATGAAGAAAACGATAAGCTATTTAGCGAAGTTGTAATGTAGTCGTATTGGCGTATTGCATTATTTGCATTTGTGTATAGTTTCATTTATAAGGGTAGAAAGAAGATAATAGAAAAAGAAGAATTTTAATTAATCATTAAAAATTTATATACCTAACAAAAAGTTTTTTTTTTCAATGTTTAAAATAATTTTAGAGCATTTTTTAACCATTTTTTAGAAGTGCATTAAATTATATTTTTTAAGACATTTTTCTTGTTTTTTTAGAATATTTAAATCAGTACTCTAGTCATAATCTGTATTACAATATTTTTTGCTAAAAAACTGAAGGAATACTTTCAATACCTACAAAATAAATATAATTACCATGTCTCGTGGATTGGAATAAAAATTTGCCATAAAAGAGGATTAAAAATTCAATTATGACATTTATTTAACATTTGAAACATTAAAAATGAAATGCACAAGGGTAATTAACATCTGTTTGATAAATTATATTAGCAAACAGGAAGACATGTCAAAGTTTAATACATGCCTACTTCTAAAAATTAATTTTACTTACAGCTAACAATGCAAGTATTCACAATAATCTTATTCTAATCTATAAATCAATCCATATCATTCCATTTTCATCCTTGTTATTTTTATTTATTTTTTTTAAGTTCTTTTTAAAATCACTAAATGTCTTTGGTTTTTTTTGTTGTTTTGGTGATTTTGAAGGTTTCACAAAAACAGGATTTGAAACAATGTATGTTCTTTGTCTTTCCAACATTCTGTAAGGATACTTTGAATTGATTGCTGGCAAATTTACCGGTGAATATCTTGGGTACACAACAGTTTTGTTTTTTTCAGAAAATGTTACACGTTTTTGATTATTTGATAACTGTTTATTAATAAATTTTGGTTGCACCTTTGGAAGTTTGGTATTACGAGCATTTCGACCATCTCGATTAAACCAAAAGAACATTATTTATTTCACATGAAATTAACATTTAAAATGGATATGTCCAGATTTAAATAAGAAATACTTTTAAAAAATGTATTTGTATTTTATATCAAATTTATAAATTTAACATACCTACTTATGAAAAAATAATTTATTGAACCATGTTTAAAGTTATCACTTATCACCATAGAAACTTAAACTACATTCTTATTGCTGGTACAGGCTTTTGGTATAATCAATAAAAATAAATAATAATGAATTTTGATGTAATATTACATAGTACATACCTACCTATCATATGCATATTATTTACATAGTAGTTTATGAATGTTTAGTTAATGTTTACTTCTTTATATGACAGTTCTTCAATTTTTTTTTTTTTTTGCTTTTACATACCTAAATATGTTTTGGGGCTGGGTACAGATATTTTTATTTTTTAACCAAGTTTTCATTAAGCTTTATTGATCACCATAGAAACGAATAAAATTAAAAAAATACCTAATTCCCACTAGGTACCTACATGTACAATTAATAGTTACATATTAATACATAATTATGATTCATACATTTTATTCAAAGTGGAATATATCGAGTAGCATTCCACATTTGTCATTTGGTATGATTTGTAAACAATTGTATATATTATTAAACTATTATAAAGACAATTTCTAACTATAGGTACATCAAAGATGAAACACAAATCATAATAAATGGAATATATAAAGAGTTATCATAAATATAATAATTAAAAACCATTTCTAGTTATTCATGTTATATTATTTTCTGAAATTCTATCGAACCTCAGCATAAAGTACTAAAGTACCTACTTCATTAAAAAAAGTATTTTTTAAAGATGCGTTTTATACATCTAAAAATGAAATAGGTAACTATTAATAAATTCAAAGAAGACTTAAAAATATATAACCTCATAGCTCATTTTAAACGATATATTGTTAATTCTTAAATGAATAGGTATAATTTTTAACAATTTACCTTAAAATGTATGTCAGTCGCCGATCAGTTTGTAAAATGTAGATTAGATTTATTTAGATAGTAAGATTTATAACTCAACAATTTTGGAACTATAGTAAATAATACGCAGTCTATATAGGTACATAACTATTGTTATTTCAAAAATAAAATGTATGACTTTAGAGTGTTTACAATTTACAAATATTCCAAATTCCAATAGAATAAAAAATTATGTACTATCATGGTTCTTGCGGTATGATAACATTGATAACTCGTTATCATAAAATCTGTGATTACATCATGTGATTCGGAAGCACGTGAAATAGTCACCCGACAAAACATAACCACACGACCACGACTTTACGACAATACGACATAATATATAAAGCACGGTCTTATCCACGGTCTTAGATTATTCTATATTATCTATATTATCTATATAAGACCGTGATATAAAGTATGATTTACATTTAAGATCATAGATATATAAATGTTTTATATATCTATGGTTCATTCAACAAAATACCATCATCATAATCAATTAATCCGACAAATAATCATTAATCACCCTCAATATAAAAAAAGTTATGGAGATTGTCTTTGTATGTAGTTTTTTTTTACAGACTTTACAGACATATTCTTTTATCTATGATTACTATATCTGCAGCTGTATATACATATATATATATATATCAACTTACTGTACTCACTATGTATTGCGTGGACTACAGTTTTGGTCGCCGCCTAGTTGCGCTCTCTCGTTGAACAGAGTATGGTAACATAGTTCTCACTATATGTACCTATTATATATCTATGTATTGACGTATTGTACTATTGTTCTATGATTATACTGATTACTGATATGTCTAACATAAGACCAAGATAGCATAGAATCGGTGTTCGGCCACCTAGAACTACTGAACTGTATCTATATAGTTCAGTTCCTAGAACCCCATGATCCAAATGACACAATTGGAGCTATAGTTCCCACAATAGACTATAATATTATATTTTATTATTTTATAGTACTATCTTGTCCGCGGTTGTAACTAATTGTAGGTCGGGGATCTAGGTGAACGTCACCCAATACCCATAGAACCATTGGTATTAACCACGAACTAATATCATAGTTATAATCATATTTTATAGATATCATAGTTCGTGCTACCAACTAACACTAAACACATGGTGCATTAATTATACTATAGCCACAGCAGGCTATAACTATATACAAACACCGAATCACGATGTAGAATTAATAATTATATCGTAAAATACCCAGTCACATACAATGCTCAAGTCATAATGAATAAATTAACTGATTAGTGATTATCTCTTATATTATAAAACACAAATAGTCTCCGTTTTTTGCCACCAGGGGCGACGCGACAAATAAGGAATTCCGCGTTTCTTCCATGACGACCAATCATATTACTTCTCGCGCGACGCAGCAAATAAGCAACTCCGCGTTTCTTCCATGACGACCAATCATAATACTTCTCGCGCGTTCGCTAAATTTTCACGTCGCCGCTCGCTTATCTCCCTTTTCGTTATTGTCTATTGACGACATTGACGTGAATATTTTCGAATATTATTTTCCCGAGTTATTCCGTATTTCTATATATTATATAATATAATAAAAATAAAAAAGTGCGTGTGCGATTTTTACAAAAATTGTGATATTTCCGTGTGTAAAATATATAAAATATGTAAAACGCAATATTCAGAAACTGTTCAAGTGTTATGTAAATGTCATTATTATGAATTTTATTATCGTACCGTTGTGGAAGCCGCCATTCAGCCATTCAGAATTTCAATAATATTAAAAATATAAGTAGTTTGAATGCACGGATTAGATAGACATTTTTCACGAGTATTGCAGTACATTTAACTATTATAGCTAAGAGTTTTAGTAGGAGCTTGGTGTGTCGATTGTTTATGACAATGTCGTTACATACGTAATAAGGTAAGTAATAATAAGTAAATTCAATACATTTCAATTTTTTAAAACATACATGTTATGTAATATTATTATATTATATACGAGGGGTAATTACAGAAAGTTTGTACACTTACTACAAAGATTACCTATGATTACCCATGATTACCCCCAAGGTGTTTACCCCTCGATTATAATATACTAATATTGTATTACCAAGTTTAATTACTTCAATTCATACCTTATACCTGTACTAACCTTTACATTGGGTTACACGTATTAATTTTTTGCAATATTTCAAACAAATTTCAAAACAAGAAAACTACATTTACATATTATATGTTATAAAATTATAATAAATTGAATTTAAATTCCTCCAAAGGTGTAAAACTATGCTTAAAATATTGTAATATTTGTCAACATTTTTATTATGTCGTTGGCATGCAAAAATGTATTATACATGATTTATATATATATTATATTAATAAATACATAAGTATCATTTATATTCTACTTTTTTAAACTTTATTATAGGACAACTGTATGCAGCGTTTTCCCGAGTGAGGGACTCTCAATCCATAAAATCCATTAGAGTTGCTATGTACAGTGATGGCCGTGGTAGATTCGTCACTAAGAACATTGTGTACAGAGAAATTCTACAAGCGATATAACTGTACAATGAAGTCTACAAGAACTTAATGAACATCGAATCCGATCTGTGTGACACATGGTTTATAAGCAGTCGTAAGTACGACTCGCGGAGGAGAGAAAGTTCGACGACCTCCACGTGGTTCTCTCTGGATGCGGATTTTGTAATGAATACGTAACTGATGTCGAACATGCATTTAACCTGGCTGCGACTCGCACACTAGATGGTAAATTATTTAGAATTATTTATGTACTCTAAAAATATATCAGCAGATATTTGTATGCATTTGTATTATTTCAGAAACATTATACTAAAAATGACTATCAATGCAGATGTAACAGAAACAGAATCATTGTTGTACTGCTACTAAGGCATAGGGGAAATTCGACAACCTCTACGTGCTACTCTCTTGATGCGGATTTTGTAATGTATTTGTATCAAATGTCAAACATGCATTTAGACTGACTGCGACTCGCACACTAGGTGGTAAATTATTTAGAATTATTTATGTACTCTAAAAATATATCAGCAGATATTTGTATGCATTTGTATTATTTCAGAAACATTATACTAGAAATGACTATCAATGCAGGTGTAATAGAAACAGAATCATTGTTGGACTGCTACTAAGACATAGGGGAAATTCGACAACCTCTACGTGCTTCTCTCTTGATGCGGATTTTGTAATGTATTTGTATCAAATGTCAAACATGCATTTAAACTGGCTACGACTCGCACACTCTGTGGTAAATTATTTAGAATTATTTATGTACTCTAAAAATATATCAGCAGATATTTGTATGCAATTGTATTATTTCAGAAACATACTAGAAATGACTTCATCAATGCAGATGTAGCAGAAACACAACAAAAAGATTCATCATTGTATCAATACTGATTACTAATTTGCAACTAAACCATACTCTGATAATCATAAGAATTACTACAGCTAACACTTAATTATTATTCATTGTTAATGTGTAACTGATGTAGCACATACACACACATATATATATATATATGTATATACACTTAAATTGATTAATAGTAAGTTTCATACACAAATTATTATAATTTCAAAAGCATATATTATCTACTATAACCAAGGTTTGTAAGAAATTTTCAATTTTGTTGTATGTACAATATGTTTCATTTCTACGTATTGCAGTCGACGCACGATTCAATTAAATTTTTTTAAACATCATTAAACTACACTATATTGTATGTTTGAATTTGTATTGCTTAACAATGTCTTTTATATGTAATAAACATAATGAGGTATGATTAGATATTTTGCCACCGCAAATAATTTTCATTGAAAAAATATTATGCAATTACTGATTAGTAATACCTAATTGATTATACATTATTTGTAATTTAAAAAAGGTGCTCTGCTGTACTGTAGGTTATAAGTGGGTCACTGTATAATGGATGGTATTAAATTTGAATTCAATGATATAA